TTCTTTGTTTTCCTTCTCTCTCACCTATATACAGGACAGGAATGAAATACTCTCCTACCTCCCTTTATCTCCTCCTCTGCTGACTCTTTTCCAGTGTCACCGTCTCTTGGTAAATTATGTTAATGGCTATCAAATCATCAATCTCCTAAAAGAGTATGACTGCCATGAAATAAGGGAAACAGGGGATTGATTTTTTTTTTTTGGTATCAGCAGTCATTTGGTGTAGATTCTCATTTCAAATGATTTGTTTACCCATCGATTGCAATAAATTGCTGTGCTGCTGAAAGTACCCCCTAAGAGAAGAGTCAGATGAAGGACAAACCTGTCATTCTGGTCACCTCCTCTGATGATCCCCTGTGTAAATTACAAATTGTTCTTAATCTGCTCAAATGTCATGTTATCAGCGAGACCTTCTCTGACCTCGCTGTATAAAATTACAATCAGCACCGCTCAGCCAATGCTGCTCTCCGTCAGTTGGCTTTATTTTCTCCGCAGCACCTATCACCACACAGTGTCATGCGGCCTTGTGTACTTATTTGCTTAGTGCATCTCCTCCACCTGGGATGGAAGTTCCACGGGAAGCAAGGGCTGGAATTTGTTCCATGCCGTATCTTAGGAGCCAAGACAAGCCTGTCTCATATTGTCATAGAGAGGGCGATCAATAGGAACTGTTGAACGTATGAAACTTTTATCTTCCGGGTCTGTGTGAAGTTGTGAGAAAATACACGTTTTGTCAGCCTTCACAGAGCTGCCTGTCCATTTTCTCTTGGCCAGTCAGTGCTGCTTCTAAGACAAGGCTGGGATGCGGGCACCACCACTGGCTTGGGTGTAGAACATGTCAGAGGGACTTGCTGGCTCCACTTCTTACAAAGTGACTTTGGCAAGGTTCTTAACACTTCTCTATGCTTGATTCCCTCTTCTCTGAAGGAGGAATGACAGATTGCCCAGGTTATGTAAAGTGCCTAAGTGCAAACTGAATGAGGGGTGGGTGGGTATGGACATCACCATTATTCCATAAAGGGATGAATGCCTTTTAGACAGATTTCTTTAGCATTGTTTTTGGTGAAAGGTTTATTTTTATTGATGCATCCCCAGAATTAGCCTGATGTTCCTCCTCTTCCTTTGGTCCCAGTACCTTTTCCCCATCTGAGAATCTTCGCACACCTAGGATGAAGGTGAACAAATATTGTGTCCCACCAAGAGTTAATACAAATGTATGGCAACTCCCTTTACTGTATAGAACAAGGCCAACTTCCTTTGTCCCCACACTCCTGTCCACAGATGAAGATGCTTCTGTCAGGACAAAGGTGCTAGCATCCAAGTTCATGGTTGTACAGATGGCTGCATGCTGACAGGTTTCAAAGTGACCATATTCTAAAAGTAAATTTCAAATGAAGGTATGATCTGTGTAAATCTGACCCCTTCCGGTAGAATGTGCATTTACATATATTTGGAATTTATAAATCCTGACAGATTCCACAATATTTATAGCCCTCCATAAAAAGCCTTTGCCAGTTTGCAGAGCTTTGCATTTGGCGCTCTGGTATGCTTAAGAGAGTTTAAATAATAATAAATTTGGTGATTTATTCCACCTGGAACAGAAAGTTATCCGCCCCCCCACCCCACCCCCGCCCCAGCTCATTTTGAAGGGGATGCCTATAAATAGTGCCACAGACGCTGGGATCAGGAATAGGGAATTGAAATTTGAGAGAGAAGTACAGCAACATTTCCATTATCACTGATTTCTTGAGTATATTTTTAAAACAGTTCTGTTCCTCACATGATATCCCTTCTCTCCTTTCTCCTGCCTCATCTCAATTATACCTGAGTCTCTCAAACCTGTTGCCAATGTTCAGATTCAATTGCTTTAATGGGAAAGGGGGAAAGAGAGTATTGGCTGACTAGGTAGGAGCAAGGTGCCTCTAGGGAGGACAAAGCAATTCTTCAGTGCTCATCTTGTATTTCATAGGAGTCAGCAGGTAACTGAGTGTCTATATCTACAGTGTAAATTAATTACTTGAGATCCATCTCACATATCCAACAGATGATTTGATCAAAAGCTCACAGTTCATGAAAAGAATAGGAAAAGAGTTGTAAGTGCAATTCCAAAAGAAAGACTGAGGTCAGTCAGAGAAGGTAGTTTCTTTCAACAATCATGTTCACAAGTGCCTAGAAGAGGGTGAGGGGATATAGCAATCCCCTCTTATCTATAGTTTCATTCTGCATAGTGCCAGCTACTGGTGGTCACCTGGCATCTAAAATATTAGATGGGAAAACCTAGAAATAAACAGTTTAAGTTTTACATTGTTCACTGTTATAAGTAATGTGATAAGATCTCTTGACTCTATCCCACCATTTGTGAGGATGAATAGCCCTTTACCTTTGTATTATCACTATAGATATTACTCACTCATTAGTCACTGACTAGCAGTCTCTGCTCTCAGATCAGCAATCCCCAGCATCACAGTATTCATATTCCACTAGCACTATATCAAGAACAGCCACCGAATCACCCATTTACATCATTTCATCACCAATTCACTGTACAGTCTATATCAGTCTCAGAAGAAGAGTATACAAAGATATTTTGAGAGTGACCCCGTTCACATAGTTTTCATTATAACACATTGTTCTATTAGGAGTCATTCTTAAGCCCTTATTGTACAAAATTATAAATAACTATTTTCATAGATTAAGTAGATGTGGGGAAAAAAAGAACATGTATACTGGACTTAGGGTGACCAGAGGCTTTAAGTATTCCCTGAGGGTCTTGTAATATGTTCCCTGAAAATAAGGAGAAACTATAACCATTTACTATACCTGAATAGTGACTTTGGGTGTTATTATTTGCTTCTCTTTTTAAAGAAAGATTTAAGAACTACCAAGTCATTCTCTCCAGATTCTACCAGGGAAAACTGAGAAGAGGCAGTTAGTGTAGCAGAAGCAGCATTACAACCTGCAACATGACAAGGAGGTTTATTTCCAGCTTCTTGTTTGAGTGGGTTGGAAAGGAAGTAGCATTTGTAAGAAGAATAATAATTAACATCCACTGAGAGCTGCCTATGGGCAGATGCAAAGTCACAAGTGTCTGGTTTGGTGTACAGCACCTTCTTTGTTGCCCGGAGCTGGTCCTCCACAATCTGAAGACTCCACATCTGCAGTCAACCAACCATGGAGTGAAGATATGGCAGGGAGGGGGAGGCAGAAAGCTGCCAGTGGCAAAACATGACTCTGCCACATGTAGAGCATAGTGTTCAATTCATTAGTATAAGTGGCATGCAGGTACAATGCTGCAGCCTCCTGCCACCCGGAGGTTCTCATTCTGCTTTCAATGCTCCTCATTTGATGGCATTCAGGTGCTGTGTAGACAAGTCCAGGATGGTTGCATCTGCACTGCAAACGTACAGATTATTCCTTGTCCATGTTCCCAAAAGAATGCAGTATAGTAACTATTTACATAACATTTACATTTAAATCATCTCCAGATGATTTGAAGTGTGTGGAGGATATATGCAAATGTTATGTCATTTAAATTTAGGCAGATTTGGGTATCCATGGGGGACCTGGAACCAATACCTCAAGGATACTGAGGCATAACTATAGTGGGCTTCTTTGTTCCATTACATGGAATGCATCCTCGGCCCAAGACATTCCTGAGCACTCATCTCATATCTGGCTATTAGGACGCCAGATGTTTGGACCAAGCCCCAGAGCCTGCAGTGTACCACATTTTAATGATTTGTGGTGAATAAAGTAAACGTTTTTAAACCAGATTTTATGGAGCAGGGACCCAGTTAAGTATGATGGACTGGGGGCAAAGCCAAGAAAAAGCTGAATGCTAATGAGGATATCCTTGGCTATAGAGGACAAGGGTTAGCATCTATCATTCATGGCTAATTCTAAAGCCCTGCTTGAAAAGTGAATTGTTAAAGAACCATCCCTAAATAAGACTTGAATAAGGATGACATCAGTAGACATACTCAGTGGAAGGGGGAGTTTCAGGAAACCTCAACCTTAGACAAAGAACTCCAGGCAACTAAGGAATCCTGAGAGTGGGAGAAATAGCCTTCCCAGGGAAGAGCACACCACAGATTACCCAGTACCAAGTGATCAGCCCTGAAGACACATATACAAGTAACATTATATGTACTGAGCAGATTGTATTTATAGATTTAGGAATAAACACACACACACACACACACACACACATACACACACACACACACACACACACACACACACAAACACACAGAGCTGGCTTTTTTTTTCTTAAGCTGTAAATTTGGGAGAACAAGGGTGCATGCATGGGAGGATTTGGAGGAAGCAAATGGAAAGATAGAAATCATATAATCATATTTTAATTTCAAAAAAGTCATAATGAAAAGGAACCATGTTCTAAGAAATGTCAAGTCAGGGAGGGATTCCCCCTGCCTTCCTTGCTTTGCTGCAAGACCATTCTAGAAGGAAGTAGAAGGATTGGGCTATTAGGCAGTTCCAAGTCTTTGTGCCACTGGGATCACATTATGGGTCTAATACACACAGATAAACAAACTTTTCTTATACTTGGAAGCCCATGGAAAGACAAGAAAACTACTAGATTAATTTTACAAATTTATTTTTTTTATGTTATATGTCTAAGTGTTTTGTTATGTCTGTGACCATTTGCATGCCTGGTGCCCATGGAGGTCAGAAGAGAGCATCTGATGCCCTAGAACTAGAGTTACAGACAGTTGTGAGCTGCCATGTAGGTGCGGAGGAATTGAGCCTGGGTCTTCTGGAAGAGCAGTCCATGTTCCCAATTGCCGAGTCATCTTTCCAGCTCCCTGTAGTAATTTTTTTTTTTTAAAGGCTATTATAGAGAATCCAGTTGGGAAAAGTGAAATGTTTAGTGATTTTGTTATTGTTGCTGTTTTCTGTTTTAACTTGTTAACAACCAGCAGTAAGGTAAGACTGTGTTGAGGCAACGTTTTAATGAGCCCTCCTTTATTCCTCTTCCCTAGGGCAACCCTTACATGTGCAATAACGAGTGTGATGCAAGCACTCCTGAACTGGCACACCCTCCCGAGCTGATGTTTGATTTCGAAGGAAGACATCCCTCCACCTTTTGGCAGTCTGCTACTTGGAAGGAGTACCCCAAACCTCTCCAGGTTAACATCACTCTGTCTTGGAGCAAAACCATTGAGCTCACAGACAACATAGTTATTACCTTTGAATCGGGGCGACCAGACCAAATGATCCTGGAGAAATCTCTCGATTACGGACGAACATGGCAACCCTATCAGTATTATGCCACAGACTGCCTCGACGCTTTTCACATGGACCCGAAATCGGTGAAGGATTTATCCCAGCACTCGGTCTTAGAGATCATTTGCACAGAAGAGTACTCCACCGGGTACTCCACGAATAGCAAAATAATTCACTTCGAGATCAAAGACAGGTTTGCGTTTTTTGCTGGGCCTCGACTACGAAATATGGCTTCCCTCTATGGACAGCTGGATACAACCAAGAAACTCAGAGATTTCTTCACAGTCACGGACCTGAGGATCAGGCTATTGAGACCTGCCGTTGGGGAAATATTTGTAGATGAGCTCCATTTGGCACGTTACTTTTATGCTATCTCAGACATAAAGGTGCGAGGAAGGTAAGAGAATCCCTGTCCGTCTTGAATGGAAATAACTGTGTCCAAAAAAAATATACCCACAGCTGGTGACAATGGTCAATTTTTATTTTGTTACTTTCTGAGGAGCACAAACATGCAAGTAGGTTCTACAGGTGTTTGAGATCTTTTGGTCCAGCAATGATTTGTAAGCCCACACTCTCTGTCAGTCTTCAGGCATCTTTAGAATTTAAATAAAAGAAAAGGTAAGTATCTTGCCTGAAGCACAGGAACTCCCTGGTGAGGTTAAGCTAAAGTCATCAAGACAGTGAAGCTGGTTGCTTTGCTCGGGGGTGGGGGTGGGGGGACACACAAGATTATGTCTTGCATTTCCCCATGAAAGCAAGAGTCACCATGCAATGATCCCTTACATTGTTAGAATCAAAAACATCTGAGAAATAAGATGTGTTTCTGTAAGAGTGCTAAGCTTCCTTTTTTTTTTTTTTAAAGTCTTGGACTCTTTTGTATTAAAACAACATTTCACATGTAAAATATGGGCTGGGGAACCCTTCACTTTGTAGGTCAAGGACAGAGGGATAAGCGTTGTAACATCGGTGGTTTCTAATCAGGGATACCTTGTTTTAATAGTATACCAGAACTACAATTGAGTTATCAAGAATTGTGAAGATGTTTGAATGAAAAACTCCAATGAGAACAAAAACTACCAGCATAAGAGATTTTCATTCAGCAAGACATGATGGGAGTGGAAGCATGAGATAGTGGGCAGAAAAAAAAGGAAATATAAGCAAAGAGATACTCAAAATGCAAAAAATATATGAGGATAAGCGTGTAAATGGTACATCTGGCATATTGGTCTAGGTAAACATAAATTTAAACAGAAAAATCAGGGGTTCATTCAATTGACGGGCTTTCAGATTCTTTTGGGTCTGCCCAGTCCTCAGAAACTGGAGGTGCTGGAACTCTGATCCTTTAGAGAGTTGCCTGCCACATGTGAGGAAATAAGTGTTTGCTGCTGTTAAGATGAGGGTCACAGTGAGGATAAAGAAAGGGTGGTAAGCTTTCCCGTTGAACATGGCATCTAAGGTTTCAGGATGCTAACAATGGAGAGAGAACCTGAGTCTGTGGCCATCTCCTCTGCTTATTCCTGTGTTCCTCATGACCAGTGAAGAATCTTTAGCTACAGACCTTATTGTCCGAGTTTAACCACGGTCTGAGTGACAGATGATGGCAACATCTTGAAAACAAATTAATATTTTAGAGATTTGTATCCTAGTGTGTCGATACTCACACTGAGCTTAGGACCACTTGTGTTTAAAGAAGAGTGCCTGGATTAGCAGGAGTCTATGAATGGGCAATGGGAAGTTGTCTTATCAGACTTGAATATGTGTTGTACCAAAATGCCCCATTATGTTCAGGAACATCTTAGTAAAAGACTATCAGTTTAAAATGCCATCCTTTCCAATCTCAAGTGCATATACTATATGAAAATACTTAATATTTTTAATGACAGCATACCGACATCAAATGACAAATATTCAATATGGCTGAAAGAATAAAGCTTTAAATTAAGAGCCTGAGATTTGTGTGATTTTGCAATGTTAAATTCAGTTAGGTCAGTTTCCGGCAGTCTGAGGACTCCTTAATCTGATATTAAGTTTTTGTAGACCACTACCCCAAACACCAGGATTTGGCTCTGTCAGGAAGGCAACCTTTTGGAGGTTTTCAGTTATGAAATAACCACAGCAGGAGCTTATTTTTGCTATTGGAAATTCATTTCTCCTTCCTGTGATTCTTTGAAAGAAAGTATAAAACACATTTTCAAACTAAGGACAGCTTTATGCATGCTCCACTGGAGTTAGACAGGCCACCTCTTAAGGATGGCATGCCAAGAACATTGAATCCCTCCAGACTTCTCACCTTTCTCTTAAGTCTCACCTTGGCCATGACCTCCAGCTGCTTTTCACTGGCTTGAGGAGTTAGCAGGACCCAGATTTCATCAGGCCCCCGAGTCTCACCTCCACTGTCATTCCTGTTCACCAGTTAGCTGCAAGCTGGTGAGAAGCACCTGGGCACAAGAGAAAGGGCCAGTGGAGGTGAGGCAGGTCCATACGGTGCTGCTCCGTCACCTCCACACTCTGTCCAAATCCTTCGGGGCAAACCGATGCTGGCACGTACTGCACTAGGCACCAGATGGCTGGAGTATTTTTAGTCCTGGGGGAGGGACTAAAGAAGCAAGGTCCTGATGGCTCCGGCATGTCTCCAGCTTTCAAGTTATGTAAGGAATATTTGCTCATGATGGAGTCACTAAATGGAAAACTGAGCAACGGTGGTTCATTAGGCCTTTCAGCCTAGAAACTGATTATTTTACCATTGAAAATTTCAGGATTCATGCCCTTGGCTGTCTTTCCTTGAAACAACAAATCATCTAGAGAAAGATTAGATTGTCTATTAGTTGATGGTCTCTATGGGGAAGTTCTAAATTTTCCAAACTGTAAGCAAGGGCATTGTTTCCTGCATCTTGACTTTCCATCCCATGGTCTCACAATCACACAATCTTATATGCCTGTACAGGTCTTTTTCCTGGAATAATGACATTTTTCTGTTTGTCACTTTCAGTACCATCCAAGCAAAAATGTAGGAATTTATGTGAATTGTTATATAAATTTTATATGGAGACCAGATATAAATATTTACAACACAGTCCACAGAAAATATATTTTTCCATCTTGAAATATTAAACTATTAAATGGAAATAGTTGAAGATATAATGTAAATATACATATGTAGATTTTACAATGACTAGTTTATTTAGTGTAAAAGCAACATTTTGACTGTCATTAGATTAATGGATCATTTAGGACAGTGGTTCTCCTGTGGCTTGTGATCCACATAGGATTTCACATATCAGATATCCTGGATATCAGATATTTACATTATAATTCATAACAGCAGCAAAATTACAGTTATGAAGTAGCAACAAAATAATGTTATGGCAGTGGGGGGGCACCACATCATGAGAAACTATAGTAAAGCATTGCGCATTAGGGAAGTTGAGAACCACTGGTTTAGGACCTTTTTAACACGGGATATATCCAGTATCTACTGAGCTGGTGACAAAAATTCTAATATTATCATAAAATGTATTTCTCTTTTGCTACATGCTTATTTTGCTTTCATTTTCCTCTTGAGTATTTATCAAGATAATGGAGGAAAAAGAGGAAGCTATGCTGTTGGCAATCTCAGTAACTCCATAGCACTTACATTGTTCAATAAACCTAATAATCTTCATGGACTAATTCTGACTTATGGCTGTCCTGCTTCAGTAAATCAGGGTGATTTTCTCTGGTGAATAATAGAGAAGTGCCGTGTGCCAGTACCTTAATTAAAGAGCCACTCTCTTAGTCTTGATCTCATTTTAATTTACAGGGTAATACTACAATAATATCACTAATGGAAGGTACATTAAAGGGCATCAAGTAGCATTAACTGTATTAAATTATGGTACTTGTGTTAATTAACTGCTGTAGCAAGATGGTTCTAATGGCCAAAAGTTCATCTAGTGCATAAATAAAACGTACCCAGATGGAAGGTGAGAGGGGAAATGAAGAGTGCATGTTTGTTCGGAACATTTTTTTTTTTTTCACACAGACAGGGGGTTAAATCCAAAAGTCATTAAATATATAATGTCCAAAAGGTTCCTTAGTTACATAGTGGGAGGTTTAGATTTTCAAGTACCATGTTTCCTTCTAAGCTTTCTTTCCACAATTAAGTTAGTTAAAACCTGAATACTTGTCAGATGCACAGGTTTTATCAGAATATAAACTCAACATTCCTTTTTGTTTCTTTGAGGTAAGACTGAGGAAGTAGTGTGATTTATTATAATAGTTTTTTAACTCTAAAAGATAAATGAGCACTTGGTAATAAGCCCATTTGTTTTTTGAGATGTATTATCAGCAATGTATCAAGCTACTGGCTTTGGACATTAGATAATAGAATTTCTCCTCTAACAACATAAACAGGAAGGTAGAATGGAAAGAAATATTCAAATCTGATCAACATCTCAATTGCTTGTCTTTTACAATACATTCGTAAAGGCAATTCATACCTTTTCAGTGGTATTTATTCATTTTGCATCCCATTCAGTGTCTACACTGCTTCCTTCAAAGGCTGGCTGTCAAAATAACAGTCTACAGTTTAGCTTATCCCTAGCCTAGCTTTCTGAGGTTTTCTTTGATTCAAGTGCAAAGATGTTAGATAGAAAATTCCAGAAACAGGCCGGGCAGTGGTGGCGCACGCCTTTAATCCCAGCACTTGGGAGGCACAGCCAGGCAGATCTCTGTGAGTTTGAGGCCAGCCTGGGCTACCAAGTGAGTTCCAGGAGAGGCGCAGAGCTACACAGAGAAACCCTGTCTCGAAAAACCAAAAAAAAAAAAAAAAAAAAAGAAAATTCCAGAAATAATTAATAAGTTTAATTGGATTTTGTTATAGAATATGGTTATAATTATATTTACTATAGATTATAATTTTTAAACACTGTGTGGCATATTTTTAACTTAAACTTTATAGGTATGTACACATAAGAGACAAACATAGTACGTATGGGACTCAGTGCTCTCTTTCATTTTAGACACCCTTGGGGGTTTTGAAATATAACCGTGCCCTAATTACGGAAGTCAAGTGAAATTTGTTTATTTACGTATTTGTCTTTCCTCATTTCATTGATTTCCCCTAAGAAAGGAGTCTGAGGACATTAGCACAGAAGCTCTACTTCAACACACTTCTCTGAGCGTTCCTAACTGCCCCACTCAGTCTCTTTTCCAGAATGCAGGGCATAAGAGGCCAATGACAAAGCTACTTCACCAGGGTGATAGAGTGAGAAAGACTCCCTACTTTCTCACTTTCAGGAGTCAAACTTAACAGCCACAAACCCTGACTGTTCAAATGTCACCACCTTGAGTTTTTCTGTAACTAGGACAAGGTGAAGAAGTTAGTACCAAAATATGTAACCTTGAGTAAGCAAGAAC